TTAATATATGTATACACTAAATTCTTTTCAAATTTACCCAACTTTCGGGGAAAATTATTTATATATATAATATACAAATTTAACTAAACCAAACTACAATTTCTTGGTACCTTTTAACCTATTTCTTTCTATCTAATTAATAATTTATCACTAATTCATCTTCTTCAAAATACAGTCTCATCAGAAAGTCTCTTCGCTGTTTTCAAATCATTTATTATTTTTTTGGAGCCACAAATTGATATTTGCAGCTTCTAGAATCTCAAAGAACTTAGGAACCAGGCAGGAGAAAATTGAAAATTTTCATTTTGTATTTATTTTTCGCTTGCCATAATGAGCCGGCTATCGATTTAAGTGGTACGTGAGGTGTGCGTGTGACTCATTGGCTTATATGGCGGGCTAGTAGTGCAATATAGTTAATCATGATTGCATGAGAGAAGTCAAGCGACATGCCAGCCATAGACAGTGGCTCCAGTCGAGCTTAGCTTTTCATGCTGCAGAGCGATGCATGCAATTTCTGCATCAATTAGGCGTAGACCAAGCTTTGCAGGTGTGTATGCAGTCACACACACACATGTATATATGCAAGTATAAGTAATTTTTTTTTATCGTTGTTGCCACCAAAATTGTTTAAAATTAATCCGCCTTTGAAATGGACGAAGACAGCGCCAGACAATAAAGAAACAGGCGCAGCAGCAGCAGCAGCAAAGAAAAAAATATTTATATTGCAACAACAAAAAGAATTACCCCTTCCAGCCGCTCTGGCCGAGCACTTGAGTCATACGCGACTTGGATGGGATGAATGGCAACGGCGTCCACGTCGGTCTCTATGTATAAAGTCAGTCGATACATGCAATGCGGGCGTCCACACACGTTCCACTCCAAGCAGCGGGTGAGAGCGAGAGAGATAGACAAGAGAACGGGGGACAGAGCATAGCAGAACGAACGAAACGACATTGACCTTACACACACACATACACACACAAGCAAGCGAATGGCCACAGTTGAGAGAGAGCTTAAGCAAAGTGACTGCAGCGCGAGCGAGACAGCGAGAGCGAGCGTAGTGCGAGTGCAAACAATTTTCGTCATTATTAACAAACACCCAGAAAATGTGTGGCGTTTCGGCTCTTTGAGTTGGTGGACAGGCGTCCGGCCAAGACAAGGGAACGAACTGCTGGGGTTAAGGACAGCGTTAAGTGTCTGGACCGCCTGTCCAAGCGGTGGACGTGTCTGGCTCATTAGCAAACGGCTAGGCAGCTGAGCGAGATGACGATATATATATGTATATAAATACATAAATATATATATGTAAATATATCTGTATCAAGTACATAATATGGCCAGGTGTAATAACTGCATGCACGCAATATGCAAATGGGCAAATTGATAGAGGGAGAGAGAGAGAGAGAGAGGGAGAGGGACAGGGAGAGCAAGAGAGTGACGGACTACGCTCGCCCTTATCTGCAGGCTAATGTATTAATTAATGAAATCAGGCCCAACCACAAAGCGACGTTGTAAAAGTTTCAGCCCCAAAAATTTCCAGCGGGCGTTTAAAGCTCGCGCATAAAAATAAAATTAAAACAAGAACAAAATAAATATACAAAAACTTTTGCAGACAGCGACGCAACAGCAACAACAACAACWGCTGCAGCAGCAACAGCAATTGGCGGCAGACAACAAAGGTCAGCGCAGGTCACAATGAAAGGGCGTCGTCCTCTGCGTGCTGCGAGTCGAGCAAGCGGCTGCGGCTAGTCAGCTAGGCGGGTAGTCGAGTATCGGATACCCGGTAAACGAGCTTTTTTGCTAATTGCACTAGCAGCAACACCACCAGAAGCAACAATTATTAGTGCAATGCTAATTGACTAAGATTCTTAAGTTGTTAATTGTTTTTATATATATATATATTTTTTTATTTTTTTTTTTTGCAACTGCGTAATGTTTGGCACTGATGTTGTTGTTGCCGTTGTTGCATTCATCAGCTGCAAGTCTCCGCTCTAGTCGAGGCAACTGCATGCGCCTGTGGGTAGGCAACATTGCGCAGTTCGGCCAACGAATGCGAATCAGCCATGGATCGATAAAGTCGTCTCGACGTTGCCGCTCACACTCAGTAACACACCCATACATGTATAAGAACACAGACAGGACGATGAGCGGCAAAGAGAATGGGGAAGAGAGCGAGAAAGAGAGCGCGACGACAGACGCAAAGAAATCAAAACGCTAGCCCAAAAGCAACTGCATGTCCATGTGGGTAGAGCAGAGCTCAAAGCTTTGCGAACCGTGGAACGCATAGCTTTTCTAACGAACAAAAGTCGATTGCTCAGCTTAGCGCTTATTTAACGAGTATTTTATACATTCCAAAAATAAGAACACAAAAGTTAAATACAGAAAGTATTAAAAATATTCAATTTTACTTCGCATATATTGCATAAGTAGTTAAGTCTTAAATTTATAACAAAATCTTAATTATTCTTAGGTGTCTTTGCTTAGAGTAATCATAATTCTTGAATAAGGTCAAAAGGCTTTTCGCTATAATGTCATTAAAATAAGTTCTTGGCTTTTCCAGAAGAATTTGTTTTGATAAGTATTTGAGTATTAAAGTTAATATTTGTGGCACAATGTTTTTCGCTTACATAACTAATGTGTAATGCAAGTTACAGGATTTCTTATTATCACTTTTTCTTCAACGGGCTACAACAGCAATTTATTCATTTCATCGCATATTCTTGTTGCATCTCCAAAATTAATATGTGCGAATTAGCCTCTTGAAGTTCTTTAGTTAGTTTATTAATTTCAGCTTTGTATTTTTTCTGCGCCAATTGCATGTTGACTTTCAAGCGAACATTTTCCATACGTAAGTCTTTGCTGTAATTGATAAGAGAATTAGTGTGAGGCGATAATTTCTAAGTTCACGAAGCATTGTTTCAAATCAAGTAATTCCGACGTGCAAAGGATTTCTGAATGGAAAATAAACTTACACTTGATTACTTAGCTCGTCAATAACAGCTTCAGAGCTTTCTGTATCCAGCATGTGATCATATTTGTTTGGTTCAACTGTAATTTCTGTTTCCTCTGTATCGTCATTGCTTTCCAAGTCAGATGATTCCCTTTTGCTTTTTAAACTAGCAAAAAGGTCGTCCTCTATGCTATTGCTTTTCGACTGTTTTGTGCTCCTCTTCGAATTCTTCTTCGTTGTTTCACTATTAATGCACGGGACTGCATTTGGTTTTAATCGGCACATGCCTGTGGGAAAAATTATATCAGTTAGTTTAAATAATGTGCGATTGTTTCCTAATACTATATACCAATATCTTCTGGCCTAAAATGCTCCGAGCAAACATATGTGCCCTTTCTATATTTGAGATTTGGATCGCCACAGAAAGCCAGCCATTTTTGTGCTAATTTGTTGTTCATCGGTAATTCGAAGAAACGAATTAGTTTACTCTTCGTTTCGCTTGTATAATTGCAATTTAGTACCGAGCAACGCCTCATATTTGTTTACTGTAAATTACAAATTAGCTCTGACATAAACAAGTTTTGTTTGGTTAATTCTATCGATAAGCAGCTGTGCTGCCAGCAGCGGCACGCATATCGATAGTGATATGCAAAATCATCGCACAGCTGTGAGTGCAAAGATCATTCGCGTACGCAAACTTAGGGCTGGCTGAAATGTACGTGACTCACACATACATACATGTTCTGTTCCATTATACTGAAGAGCAATGGAAAACAATAACAACAACTGAAGCTGAGCCGAAGCTTTCGCACGCTGTTTTCTTTTATTCCCGTATTCCCCCGCTATAACTCAACCAGTTGCAGTTGTGTCTGCTATTGAGTGCGTCTAGCGTCTGCGTACGCGTGTATGAGTGAGTGAGTGTGTGTACATGCTTGTGTACATGTGTACGCGTGTATGTATTGTATGTCTGTGCCGTTGGCTTTTTTACCCGAGCCTGCCTCAGTGGGTTTTGTGTTGTGAGGGCACGCCGGGCTCGTCCTCGTTGATTTACTTGCTGCACTCATTGTTGCTGTTGTTGTTATCTAGACTCGAGAATTGTTGCTGCCAGACGACGACGACAACGTCGACGAGCTTTGGGGGTTGAGCTTTTGGGTTGAATGCACGCCAGAACGCTGTTTAAATGCTCGCCGCTCGTCATTCATGTGGCCGGGCCGGCAACCGCCGTCGCCGTCATCGACGTTGTTATTGTTGTTGTTTGTTCGTTGGTTCGTTCGCTCGCTCGTTGCTCCCCGCCACCCACTTGGGACGCACACTTTGTGGAATCCTGTCTAGACACAACACACAACGCTGAGTTGGGTACGCGCTGTAAGGGCCGCGTTGTGGGCGGGGCAAACTTGGTCACCATAAATAATGCGCCGGAACTTGAAAGCCAGTTCTATCTATAGCATACTTATGGGCATGTGTTTAATGTGCTTTTACCAGGCTATCTGCTAACCCGCGTCGAAGGAAAAATTGGTTCGCCGGAGAAGCCGCTCTCGGACCTGGGTCTCATATCATATCGCTCATATTGGAAGGATGTGCTTTTGGACTATCTCTGCAATCGTTCCGGCAATACGATATGCATCAAAGATGTTTCTCAGGTGAGCATAGAATGATTTACTACCTTAGATATACATATAATATATATATATATATAACATTAATTGTGATCTTCGACTTCGCACAGGAAATGGCCATCTATTCGTATGATATTGTGAGCACACTCCAGGCTCTGGGCATGATGAAGTACTGGAAAGGCAAGCATATAGTGCTCAAAAAGCAGGTGAGCTCAGCTGAGTTCCGATCACACACTGAGATTTTAATATAATTTAATAAATTTTCTAGGATGTCCTGGATGAGTATGAGGAGCGAGTGAAGCGCCGGGGTACGTTTCCCAAAATCGACGACTCCTGCCTGCGCTGGCAGCCCTTTATACCGGCTCAGCCGAGCGCCTCACCTTAACCACGTGGTTGGAAGCACGCCCAGGTGTGCTTGGCGGACTCTTCGTAAATCTGTATTTTCATAGAGATTCATTATAATTTGTGTATATTGCTTAAGGCCTCAAGTATTGTTGTATTTGTTGGTAGCTAATTAATAATTGCAGATACATACATAGTAAACAAACAAAAAAATTCCACACAATACCGATTATGATTCTGACTTAAATATATATATGTATATATGTATGTATATTTGTATGTACTCGATGTTGAGCAGCAAAGAAACCAGCCGCCGCCGTCTTGAGATTTATAATTTTTTTTTTTTTTTTTTTCTTTTCTACTTCGTTTTTTATTGTTCATCACTGAGCTCATTACTTCAGGGGCCCCAAGATGAATCATGGAAGCGGGCAAGAAAAGCCAACGCGTTTACATGGCAGTTGTTGTCGGTCAGGGCGGGGCTGCGGCTGGGGCGGTCTGTGTAGCAACAGCGCATCGCAAAAAGTGCACACTGTGAGACAGAGGCAGAGGCACAAGCGACGGCGACTGCACCAGCAACAGCAGCGGCGCATTGACATTGCCGCCCAGACACTCCTCGGGTAGTGAGTGAGGCAACGCCACAGACACACACACACACGCGCGCAGACAGTGGCAAACACCAATACCAAAGCACAGAGAAACAAAGCGTCAGACAGGTAGCGAGCAGAGAGCAGCGAGCAGCAAACAGCAAACAGGGGCTGAAGAGACACACAAACTGCACAAGCCAAGGGAGCGCTCAGTGACTGCGACAGCGACTGCACGCCACGTTTATGGCTAAAAAGCATATGCAGCAGCAGTCGCAGCAGCAGCAACAGCAACATCATCAGCGACGCCAGCAGCGCGGCAWGCAGGCAGCCAGCCAGCCAGGCAACGACAATTCCGCCCTGCCAGACGCAGACATCAATCCGTCGCACAGTGGTACTCGCACCATTGGCCAGCAGTGAAAGCTTTTCAATTATAGCTAAAGCCCGCCTTCATCAATTTAAGAGTAGGGAATTATTCAAAACACATTAAAACACATCAAAAACAAGAAAAGAGAAAAATTGCACAAACTGATTTAGATTATATGTCTATGTAAAATAATATATTAATTTTTAGTTGCAAATCAAAAGGAAGAAGTAACCACGGAAAAATGTAAGTGGCTATACCAGATCTTTTATATCAGGATATATTAACATAAACATTTTTCGTCCATCAAAAGCTAGATAATTAAATGTTCATCTTAGTGATAGCTTTTCTGATATCAACTTCTCTCGGATTTATTTGAATAACCAAAAAGAATGTAGCTGTTTGCATATAGATTAACTCATTCGCGAATTGCTCAAATCGTGAAATGCAAATAACGACTTGCTTAATCAGCCCCTCATACAACACTTGTACATTATATAATTTGTATATTCTACTTTTCAACAAGTAAAAACAGTTTAATAATGACAATTAAAAAGTTCAGTGTAATACAGCTGTTGTTTTTCTTTCACTATTTATATTAAACAGCTGTTTCTAAATAGAGGTAAGTAACTTGGAAGTGAGTGAAACACATGTTTTATAAAATAATATATCAATTACAATTAATTACAGCACAGATGTATGTATATACTTTTCTGAGACCGGATTAACTCTTAGCTATGCCCACTGTGCGTGCTTTTTGTTGCAGTCTGCTGGCTGGTGGTGCCTGCCACTTTTATAACAAAGGAACCCGTGAGTGAGAACTGGGAAAACGTACATATATGCAATATATGCTCGTGCGTGTGCGTATGTATTGGTGAGCGGAAAGCGCGGTGTAGGAAGCAGGAAGCGAAAGAAACGGCAACACATACGGCTGCTGCTGTTGCTGGTGCTGCTTTTGCTTTAGCTAATGTGTATGTGCGTGTGTGTGTTAGCGTTTGTTGCAGACACACAAACACATGCACACTCAGCCAGCTGACGACGCTGGCAGAGGCCGTGACTGCGACAGCCGGCAGCGACGTCGACTTTGTGGCAATGCGAAATAAAATTCGCGCATTCGGCTTTTGATTAAGCAGCAACATTGAGCATTTGATCACCAACAGCCGGCGTGCGCGGTTCGCTTCGCTTCGCYTTGCTTTCGCTCAATCGACAGAGAGCTGGCAAAATAGTAGCAAGTAGCAAGTAGCAAAAAGCAAAAGGCAAAGTCAAAATCAGAACCAAATAAAATAAAAGGCCAGAGCGCTTCTAGGCGGCCACACAGTCGGCCATTTGCACATCAAGTGGCCGATTGTGTCTCTACTCTCGCTGTGTGTGTGTAATTGTGTGAGTGGGTCTGTGCTTGTGCTTATGCGAGTGTGTGCAATGAGCGATGAACAACGAAAAGAAATTAAAGTTAAACTTTGCAGCGCGCGTGTGTGTGAACAATAATTAAAGCAACAAAGAAACGAAAGAAAAAAAGCTCAGCCAGCCAGGCGGCCAAATAGACGCAAGCCAAGTGCAACGGAAGTTTACTGTGAACGAAATATAAGACCAGTTAAAAAAAGCAACGGAGAAAAAACGGACACAGAACATATTGTGAAATTCAATGCTTGAGCGGATTGGCAGATTGCCGGATTGGCGGATTGGCGGGCGGGCGACAGCGTCATCGACGCGTAATTGCTTCTGGGTTTTTCTTCCAGTCGAGAACGGAATTAACGCAGGTCAAAAGCGACCAAATGCTCGTTATAAAAGAAGACTTGTACAAAATTTGTAGTTGAGGTTGGGTTTATTTTTAGCGTTTTGATATCACAAGGCAGCGGCAGTAGCAACAACAAACCACACAACAAATTTTCGGTACGCACACAGACAAAACTCTATGCAGAGAGACGAAGCAATTCTCGCCGACAGCAGCACCGAAAGAGTGACGCAAATAGCTGCAAAATTGTTTGAAGCTACGGACGGCCACATGATTCTACCACATTGTAGATTTTACATATTTCCAAATTTCGTTTGCGTACACAACACGCACGCAAATCGAGAGACAAAGCTACACCAACACAGAAACACGAACAGCCGCAGAAATTTTTGTCGCCCAAATATTAATTTTAGACAAAAATGTTGCCCAGACCCACGACGACGTTACGCATACACAAACAAATGTTTTAATTTTGTATGCGTGAGTGTGCGTGAGTGTCTGATCAGATTTGCAAAATATTTTATGGCAAACTCCAACTCAGGGTTAAGGGCGTGCTCGGTTGAAAAGCATGTGCTTGCACATGAAGAAAGGCATTGGGAGAGAGAAAGAGAGGCGCAGGCAGCACCCACACACAGACAGATAGACTACTGCACTCGGCAGTCGTCGGCGCATTGTTACTATTTGAGGTTAGGAATGCCCCACCCAAGCAAAGCACACAACCACATTTATATAAATATGTATATGCATATACATATATATGTACATATTGGCATATAAAGCAGTCATGTCTGCTAGCCTGCTGCTCATTTTATATACATACATACATATGGCAGCCTCGACGTCGTCGCCATTGCTATATACACATGTACATACAAACATATACAATTAAATGCCTCACTCACACACTTACACATGCTCGGTTGGGCACGACAAAACGACATTCGAACAAAATTTGCAATTATTCACAACGCGCGGCAGTCAAAAGTTGCTCGCGATCGCAGCAGCAGCGGCAACAGCAGCCGCCGTGACACATCACGCATACATACACATACACTCGTGCAGGCACGAGCACACGCATACATATACAGAGACTTGAGCGGCAGCAAGTCCAAGTTCATTATACCACAATCTGCGCGAGAGGCTTAAAGTTTATGAGCTGTTGTAAAATACAAAAGTGTAGCTGCTAGCAATTCATTTAATTCCTTTTTGGCGAACGGTGTGCGAAAGACAAGACGCAGAGAGTGAGAGAACGAGCGAGAGAGGACAATCAAGAGAAAGAGGCGAAATACTTTGAACGCGTTTGCAAATTCGATTTTATGCCCTCTGTCTCTGCAGTTAGCTGTTAGCGTGTTGGTGTTAGTGCATATACATGCATATGTACGAGAGAATTCGCGAATGTAGTGGGGCACGTGTGTGCCTCGGCTGCGCCACAAAACTTGCCAGGCCGTATGTGCGCGTGTGCGAGAGTGTTTGTCGGTGATCACGCACGTACCGTTGCTGCGCTTAGTAACAGAAAGAGAGCGCGAGAGCAGCGAAACGCCGGTTCTTTTCTGTCGTTTCTCTCTCTATATCGGATTTTTCTTTTCAGCTTTGGCTTTTTCTTTACAGCGTTTCAAATATAGAATACCAAGGGTCGGTCCCTGGCTGCGATTATGACAGCGACTAACTGTTGCTGCAAGCGAAAAAAAATTGTACTTTCGCATTTGGCCTCCGATGACGTCACATCCGATTTGCTGGAGTATGGACTGTAGTCATAAGCATGTATCGATGTGTGTGTACTTGCGAACGTATGGTCAGGAGGCAGAACGAGGTGTGTAATGAAGAAAAAAACATATGACTAATTTCGTATTGTTATTGCATAAATCTGCGTCAAGCAGCAAATTTCTCACAGGCTGCCATAAGAATGGCGAGGTTAAAGCGACGTCTGCTGCGCGACAAAGCTTCAGCTCAAAAAGCTTACACATAATAGGCCATACGTATGTATATATCTGCATATATATACTTATGTATATATATATATATATATGTACTCGTTTATGTGCGTGTGAGTTTGGAATGAAGTCATCGGCGTCGTCGCACGAACAGCCACACGTACAGGGAGATCGTTAACCTTAAAGCTCGACATGGACACAGCGCGCAAGGTCGTTTCCTGCGTGGCTTTAGGAGTAGCAGCAACAGCAGCAGCGGCAGCAGTTACTCCGAACCAGTTGGCAACATCTGTTGGCTTGGCTTATCTTGGTCCGCTGCGGCCGTCCGTCTTTTACCGTGCGCGCTAATCAGTGACCGGGGCTGGTTTTGATTATCTCACAGTCAGGTACCTGAAGTAGCGCGCGTGGTGGCTAGACGCATTCAACGCTCTGCTAGCAATTCTAGCATTCTCCGCCAGATGGCAAGCTTCTTGTGTCTCCCCCATGTCTATTGTACTTCATCAGGTGCTCTGGTGTCAGTGGAAACCCGGCACATGTTGAAGTACACTCAATATGCGGTGATTTGCAGTTGCTGTTTCGGCCCGTGGAAACCCTAGAATATTATGTCTAAAAATGTAACTTTTGAAATAAATACTTGAAACAAAACTTGCAACTTGTTTTCCTCCAATCATATGTTTTTGCTACTTGCTGGCGGTACAGGTGGCAACGCTGCGGTACGGAAATATTGCTTTGTTTTTTTTTTTTTTCTTTTTTTCTTTCTTTTTTTCTTATATTACAATTGGTATCGAATTCACAAGTGAATTGTTATAAACATTTTGAAAATGAAAATGCAACAAATAGTATAAACAACTGTTAACTGGAAAATGGTTCTGTTAAGTGCGCTTATTGAAAAACATTTTCTTTCCACTGTAATTTCCGACATCGATAAGCAGATGCACATTCATGTGTTTTTTCAATTGTTAAATAAATTTTATGATGCTCGAAATTAAATAAGAGGATAGTTGCTAGTGTCCTAGGAACTTTAAATATCTATATATTATATAGATGTATATAATATAGACGAATACCACAAATGCTTCTAGTCAATTTGTTCATCGATATCGACTGCATTCATGAGGAGCAAATATGTTTAGTGTGGAGTCATAGCATTTGTTAAGAATTCCTTAACAGATTTCTGTAAAATGAGCAGCGCATTTCTGATAAGAGTAAACTATCCATGTTAATCAGACAGCAGGGCTGCGTACAAAATCCAAAACAGAGTCGTCATAGCAAGTTGTGACCTAGTGGCGTTGAATAAGGTCGGCTGGTGGTTTTGCGTTAAAAATTTTCGACTATAAATTCGACTTGTTTCTTTCCTCTAAATTATTAGAACCTATAGCATACTGCTCGATTCAATACGTTAGTAGCCAATAAGTAGTTTCGCGTTGAAGTTGAAGCGAAAATCGAAAACGTCGGCCCACATTAAATAAGGACAATGCTACGCACTATCGCTGCCACACGAAACGAATTGGGCGCCTTGCGACTCATCTTACTCCGAGCTCGACCGGTGCGATATGGTTCAAACTATGGAGCCCGGGCCTTGAGCACTGCTGGTCATCAGCTGCCAATCAGGTAAAAGGCTGCCTCAACTGTTGGTTGAGGTTAGAAAGTCTGTTGTGTAATATTGCATATGCAGCCCAGTGGGCGGGCTGTGAGGGGCGGCGGGTGCCAATTGCCAATTTCTGTATGTGTGTGTGCGCGCGTGCATCTGTACATATGTGTGCGTACATCCAGTGCGTGACACTCAAATGAGCGCCGCATGATTATGACCCAAGCTAATCGCCACTGATAAGCATTTACCGTAAATGCTCAAACAACATTTCTGATTGGCAACAACAGCAAGCAATTGTTTACATTTCGTGTGCCTGCTCGTTATCGATAACAGCAATCAGCTGATTGCCATCTGTCAATCGATTTAATGGAATTAACACGAATCTGTCCTCGCCACAGGTCGCCACTGCATAGAAAACCGATCCTCAGTCGAAGCCATCTACTGCCGACATGGAGCTACAACTTTGCCCGCGCATACGCCGATCTGCCGGATCATATACGTGTGCCGCTGCCAGCACTGTCACCAACCATGGATCGTGGTTCGATAGTGGGCTGGGAAAAGAAAGAAGGCGACAAGCTGAACGAGGGTATGTCGAACAGTTCACCATTATGAGTGGTATATTATTGATTGTATGATTTATATTTATTTGTTTATTTTTTTGTACATTCATCCAGGTGATCTGCTATGCGAAATTGAAACAGATAAAGCTACCATGGGTTTCGAGACGCCCGAGGAGGGCTATCTGGCCAAGATTCTGGTGCCTGGTGGGACAAAGGATGTGCCAGTTGGCAAGCTGGTGTGCATCATTGTTCCCGATGAGGGCAGCATTGCTGCTTTCAAGGATTTCGTTGACAGTGGTGGCCCCGCTGCGCCCGCAGCTGCCGCACCAGCACCCCCACCACCACCACCACCACCACCAGCAGCAGCAGCTCCAGCTCCGGCAGCACCAGCCCCAGCCCCAGCTGCCGCACCATCACCACCACCAGCGGCAGCACCAGCAGCAGCCCCCGCGCCAGCTGCAGCACCAAGCGGCGGTCGTGTCTACGCTAGCCCCATGGCCAAGAAATTGGCGGAAACAAAGCAGCTCCGTCTGCAAGGTTGTATACAATGAACCCAATTTGCCCGCTGTGTGCATGCTTGCCTCATGCTCCACTAATCCAATCCAAATCTCTGCTCGTTTTGTTCTGTTCTGTTACTAATCCTGGCCTTTTGTACAGGCAAAGGTACCGGCGTCCATGGCTCACTTAAATCTGGTGATCTTGCAGCCGCACCGCCACCAAAGCCCGCACCCAAACCAGCCCCCAAGTCCGATGCGCGTTTCAAGGACATCCCATTGACGACGATGCGCTCAGTCATTGCCAAGCGACTGCTGGAGTCCAAGCAGAATCTGCCTCACTACTACGTAACCGTTCATTGCCAGGTGGACAAGGTGAGCGAAATACTAACGGTAGCATATACATAGATGTGGATAAGGACATTTGTGTAGGGACTCAATTTAGATATTGTATATCAAGTTATGTGCATAAAGTATGCACATATAGCTCAGATATGTATGCTAGTCTAGATTGAAGGAGGAAATGAAACAACTAATGTTAGATATTGATTGTATATTTCTGAAAGTTTATTTATATATATATTTTTATTTATATTAGTTTGACAGTATTTTTTTCTTAAATGTAAATGTTAGTGAGCTATTTCGAATTTTGAATACCTTTCCCGATTTTTATAAAAATAGAGATTTTAGCTTAAAAGTTTGCTTAGCAATTTAGAAACTTAATTTTAAAAGTTGATTTCAAAATTGAACCTGTGTTAAACCTGATTTTTAATAAGTTCCTTTCTTAAGAATTTCATTTAAAACTTTTGTCTTTCAATTCAGTTTGAAGTAAACCTGAATTGTCTTTATTTATTACATTTATAAACTCAACTGCCTTTTAGCTAATTAAATTAAATTTGTTAATTATATTAGTTAGTTTAATTAGTATGGCGCCACAGTATGCTTTCTTTGGATTTGATTGTCTATTATTCAATTTTGAGTAAAGTTCTTAGGTGTTAGCTGTGGCACTAAGGCCTCACTAGGCCTATTCCTTTCTCTTTCTCATTGCGATACATTCCTAGAAGAAACCCTTATTAATATTACTTATCACATTTGCAGTTGATGAAGTTCCGCGCACACATAAACAAGAAGTACGAAAAGGAGGGCGCACGCGTCTCCGTCAACGATTTTATAATCAAGGCCGTGGCGACTGCGTGTCGCAAGGTGCCTGAAGCGAACTCCGCTTGGATGGACACGTTCATCCGGCAATACGACGATGTGGATGTGTCTGTCGCAGTGTCGACCGATAAGGGACTCATTACGCCCATCATCTTTGGCGCTGACCGCAAGGGAGTGTTAGAAATCTCGAAGAATGTCAAGGAACTGGCAGGCAAGGCACGCGACAACAAGCTGCAACCGCATGAATTCCAGGGCGGCACCATTTCCGTGTCCAATTTGGGCATGTTTGGTAAGGATCAAATAATATACTATAGACGATATATTATAATGTATTTTGTATTTGCAGGTGTTAATCAATTCTGTGCCGTCATCAACCCTCCTCAGTCCTGCATCTTAGCCATTGGCACAACAACGAAACAGCTTGTGTTGGATCCGGACAGCAACAAGGGGTACGTTTTTTGAAATAGATTTGATTATGGATGAGTTGCTAATCTTGTTGCTTTCTTTTCCAGTTTCAAGGAGGTGAACATGCTAACCGTCACGCTGAGCGCCGATCACAGAGTGGTCGATGGCGCTGTAGCCGCCGTTTGGCTCAAACATTTCAGAGATTTCGTGGAGGATCCGGCTGCAATGATAGTGTAAAAGACGCAACAGCTTACGATGTAACCCTACCCCACAGAGTGTGAGGAATAGTTCTCTGTTGTTCACTGTTGTTCATATTAGATACAAATATACAATATTTGATGTATTGTACAAATTTCAATTGATTTGCTGCCCACGACCTGCGCTGTGCGTGTTTGGCCTCAAATTGGTACCCACTCAAGTCTTAGCGCTTTTAGAATATATATACATATATATTATGGCCATGTGTAATATCGACATAGTGTTAACTAAATAATATTCTGTACATGATTTTACTCAATCTACAATATACACAAACACACACACACACACACACCTACACTGAAAACATTGTAAATTTCGGTTAAAACAGACATACCCACAGGTCTAATTTTATAATAATTTTCATATTTTGTTAATCATTAAACAACATTGATAAATCCAAAACTGTTAAATAAGCAAAGCACATGTATTTAGACTCCTATTTTGAAATAACAACAAAGCGCTTCAATTTAAATCGAACGATTATATTCAATACGTGCTTTATTTTCGGTCTTTGGTTATGGGAAACAGTCCTTTAAATGCCTTGTCCTTAAAGGCTGTGCTCTATGCTCCTTCAACTGTTTTCTTTCGCTCTCTATATATATTAATCGATCTATATTTCAATATTTTATATTTGTAATCTATATAACATATAACATACAACATATATTATATTGTTGTCTTATCTCTTGTTAATAACTTGCCTAAACATTTTGTATGTCTGTCTTAAACACTTTCTGCTCTTTCTTTTTCATACTTATATATTTATATATTTGCTTTATGTATACTCATCTGAACAGTTTTAAAGTCGACAAAGTCATGAACTTGATTCATGATGCTGTTAAAGTTGCTGACATAGGCCCATACATTACTGAGTGTCACAAAAACTATAAGCAACACACACATACACATGCATATATATACATATACAAATGCATATATACATAAATACATATACATACATTCATCATTTCTAACCATATTTATTGCCATTTTCTTTGACACTTAATATCTTTGAAATTTTGGAATCATAAACTAAATTTAGCTTCTAATATTTTTCAGTCAAATTGAAGCTTGAATATTTAAAAATTATGGCATTGCAGGTGTTAAATAACTTTACGACTTCATGCAACTAGCTAGTGGTAGGGCTAGGGCTAGCTTTATCTATGGCAAATACCAGTCTATGTTGTGTTAAAACAAATGCCTATTCAATGTAGGGGGGGTACACTACGTATTTACTTTTTAGTGCTATGCCAACTTAAATTTCAATCTATCTGAACGACTGCTAAATTTACTTAACACAAAACAAGTAAGAGTGCTCCAGTCAAGGGTTAACTCTTTGAGGAACTGATATTCCAATAAGTCTAGACTTTTTTTCTGCATGCACAAGAAATCACACATTAACACACACATACATAAGCACGCGCTCTGCTAGCTGCGCAGTTGACGCAGCGATTGCGCTCCTTAGGCTATATCATGGGAGCTTACAGACACGCAGACAGATGGAGCTAAATCGACTCAGCTTGTCGCCCTGATCAGGAGTAAATGTACGTTATGGGGACTACCGCGCCTGCTCCTGCCGGTTGCATACATTAAAGATTTCCCATATTGAAAGCAAAGAAGTATACCTAGAGTGCATATTTCTATACTCGTTCATTAAATGAAAAGAGTATATTGGTTTCGTGCAATGCTCCTCCTGCTCTCTCTCTCTCTCTCTCTCTCTCTCTCTCTCTCTGTGCTTGTGTTGATTATAATTTTAGGTGAAATAAGCCTTGAAGACATCGTCTAGATATGAAAACTTGAATAGCTTTGAACCACCATGAACCTATCTTATCTATTTTATTTTTTATATTTTTTAAGACATGCAAACATTGCTGCAAGCACAAAAAGATATTGCTTCTGATTGGATCTATGAATCAAAATTAACTATATTCGTATATCATTTACGAAAAAATATTGAGCTCTAATAAATTTCAGATACATTTCTCTAATCTAGCTGTATTGGAATTGTTGATATATTGTTTTATAAATAAGGATAGATAATAACTTGTGTAAACATTATTATATACATTCCGGATCTAAATATTTTTTTTAAAGGGTTTCGACTAGCTTGTAAAATTAGCTCAGATTAAGGTTAATACAGATGTGCCTTAACTCTATACTAGGTAACACTTGACCCATTTCAGAGAGCCATACTTCAACTCATTTTGATACACATTTGAAACTTGGGGGTTTTGGCATTATGTTAACTAATTTATTGTCAATTGCTAAGAACTAATCAAGAACATATTTATAAGTACAAGGATTAACTAATGCTTGGACTGGCTGGCCAAGGACTCATAGAGCTCTACCACTGGGCGGGTCCCAACTCGCTCCAGGTGTTGACATAGTCGGTCTGCTGCTCGAGGGCGGGGAACCAGTCAAGGCCGCCGTAGTCGATGGCTGGCTTTGTGCCCTTGTAGTTGGCTGGAAGCACCGAGGGGTCGAGGAACTTGTGCAGAGATTTCATGTCGCTGCCATGGAAGTGCATCTGAAATTTAAAGAAACGAGGCAGATTAGTAAAAGCGAGTGGGAGAGAGAGAGAGAGAGAGAGAGAGGAGACTGCTCAACTTACGCGTTTGTTCAGCTTCTCCTTGATGAAGGGCTTGAACAGCGTCCAGACCATGTTGAAGATGAAGGGTTGCTTGACGATGTGCACCTCCTTCATGCGCAGCGGCATGGCCTCCTGTATGAAGGTGAGCAGACGCTTGGAGAAGCTGGGCGACAGCGCCTTCACCTGCTTCATGGCCAGGCCATCAAAGTCCATGATGCAGACGACTCCGCGCACCTGTGTCTCCTCCTCCAGCTGGGCGGCAATGTGCACCACGTACAGCATGCGGAACATCTCATCGCTGGGTATCAGATTGGGATCCCAGAGCTTGCCGCAGTTGACGATGAGCACGCGTCGGCCCTTCTGGTCGCAGTTCTTCAGCACATTGATGACGCTGCCCTTGACGAAGCGCTCCTGCACATCCTTCACCTGCAGGCCGTGCACCAGAGCTTTGTTCTCCTTGCGGAAGCTAGCAACGTTTTTCAACTGTAAGAAGAAGAAGAACAACAACAGGTGTCTAATCAATCAAGCTGGCCCGATAGCAAACGTCTTTCGCATTGACCATTGAACGGCCATAAACACCATGGCTCTGATAAGACGTGGGTGTCGGGCGGTTTACAACGGAATTTAGAGCCTAGCGCCACGTCATGGTCAGCAGCCGCGCATGCATTATGTATGCTAGACCACAAATATATATATACATACATACATACATACATACATACGTATATACGCATGTATGTTAAATAGGAATACTTTTTAGCTGCTTATCGCTCGTGTTTAATTTTTTTCTGCTTGTGTCAGCGGGTTCAATTCGTATCAATGCGAGAATCAACATAGATGACGTACGTTCCAAGAGTTTAGCTGGCCCAGCGACAAGTGGAGCAATTCCTTGACTAGGACTCGGGTATAAAGAGTTGCTCAAGAAATGTGTAACAGAAGCAGCCATATGATATATACGATATGATAAGTTCATCTACCTATTTTAATTTTTAGGGAATAAACGCTATGTAATTCTTATATTTAAACAAATTTCTCGTTTTCATAAGACTCATTATGACTTTTAGATAGCTAGAAGCTATCAACTGAGGAGTAAATTTACTATTTAAAGCAAACTTTAAACACAGGTAAAATTCAATTTTTATGTTAGAAAATATTTAGCTAACTTTTTATCTATCCATCTATCAGGAATTCACGCTTTATTTTATAGTTTTAAATGTGCATAAATAATTCGAATTTTGTATAAACATATAGTTTAAGAGTTTCGTTCATATTCCATATCTGTGATTAAACAATCCTTATCACCATCCATATATTTATGTATTACATAAAGGCTGGTTTGCCCATAAAATTTTTCTAGCTATTCATGCTTTAGTCATAAAAAATTAATACACCCAAAAGATACACCTAATTCTTATTTCATTTCATTTGATCTTCATTTTTTTTATTTTTTCGAGTCAGCCAAGGAGCTCAATTTTCGCTCAGATTACACAGAGCTGAGGTTGTAGACCCGCTTTGTACTCCGAGCTGTCTTATGGCGGGTCAAAAGGTATATCAGCCCAGCCTAGTCAGCACTGATAACGCGATCCTTAGTTGTATTTTAAGCTCGATTGCTGATGCGAATCGGATGTTGTTAATCATTAACTGATATGTGGGTGGGATTGGAGTTCAATTTGTGAACTAGATTGATTGTGTAATGTGTAGATTGCATTAATTGCATTTTTTTAAAAGAATTAAAAATTAATTTTAGAAACTAAGGTTTAGCTGAAGAAATACAAAATAAGAAATTTTTACTATTTTCTATCATACATTTTTACTCTATATATGTACTTTAGTTTTATTTTTAATTTTTTAATATTGTATTTATTGGATATTTATTATTGTTTGGCGAAGTTTTATAGTATGAATTTCATGGGATTTTTATTTAATTAGAAATTTGTAAAAAAAAATATCTATAATCTATTTATTTAGGAATTCAGTAAATCTGTGGTATTTGTGGGTCTGTTTTATATTGGATATGGGAAGTTTGCATATCATAGCTGAGTCATATGCATTTCAAATGTGAATCGTATATATTTCTGCTGTGGATTATATGTGCACCATGTGTGGATCGCGTGTGGATCATAATTCTATGTATATCATATTATTCGCTTGCGAATTTTATATATAATAATATACACACATATAATTCGCATATGATATAAATTTAATACATATATGAAGAGATGATACATATCAGTTGGGAACAGAATATGGAGCATACGCATAACATTTGCATAGCATATGCAGATTCTGTTTGGATCACTTATTGACACAATTTCTGTGGATTGAAAAACTTAGAGGATTTGTTGCCAAATATTTTCACATTTAAATTCACACATTATGGAACACCCCATTTGAACACACCTTAAGTAATTTCTATTTGAACACAATAATGGTCACTGATTCTATGCGGGAATTGTGGACTCTGACGAGCTTAGAAACCTATACATGGATTCCATTTAAATTATCTTTAGAGTCTTTTACTATTTCACTATCATTTCCTGAGCCACTTTTATAATTTGTACAGAAATCCAACTGCTAAATATTTTCAGGACACTTTTCACTCAAAATGAATTGGAATACGCACCTTCTCCAATGCGCTCTCCGGATAGAAATGGCAGACACGCAGGAAGATCAAGAGGAAGGCATCGTCGTCCTTGTAGTTGAGCTCTGGCGTTGCCTTGAGCAATTCGCGCAGCTTCTGAAGTGACTCTGCTCTCAGCTCATCGGTTTCGCGCAGCTCGGCACGGGCGATCTCCATGGTATCCGGCTTCATGTAGCCGATGCGCAGATGGAATGCCTCCTCGCTGATGTCCACGT